CCAGGCTGGACTCAAACTTGTGATCCTCCTGCCGCAGCCTCCCAGAGTATTAGGATTATAAGTATGTGCCAGCCTGGGATTTAGCTCAGTGATTCCACCGCCTGGCTTGCAAGCTCAGGGTCCCGAGTTTGATCCCTGGTACCAAAAAAAAGTATGTGCCACCACACCTGGCCATTTATGATCTAGGGATTAAACTCCAGGCCCCAAGCATGCTTGGCAAGCACTGTACCAACTGAGATATACCTCCAGCTCCAACCACTATACACAATGATGAAATAATAAAGATATTGTTTTGCTTCTATGACTTAGTCGTCTTTGCGTTCTTAGGATTCATCACGTTGGCTTAAAGGGTGACCTGAGTAAATGAAGCATTATGCTGCAGTCAGTCCTTCTTGGCAGCTTCTGAGAAAGTAGGAAGAAAGGGAAGATTTTACTTATATTCTTTTGAATCTAGGTCCTGCTATATTTCCCAGGCTGGTCTCCAACTCCTGGGCTCAAACAGACTTTTTTTTTTTTGGTACTGGGGATCAAACTTGGGACCTTGCACTTGGGGCGGAACCACTGAGCTAAATCCCCCACCCACAAGCAGTCTTTCCCCCACATTCTCCTAGTAGCTGGAATGACAGGCACATGCTACCCCACCTGACTAGAAAAGGGAGGGTGTTTTTTGTTTGTTTTGTTTTTTGTACAGGAGATCGAACTCTCAGGTCCTTGCGCTGAAAAGTGAGTTTTAAAAATAAGGTGGAGAGCAGGGTGTGGTGGCAGATGCCTGTGATCCCTGCACTCGGGAGGTTGAGGAAGGAGGATCACTATAAATTTGAGTCCAGTCTGAACTCCATAATAAATTCAGTGCCAGCCTGAATTACATAGCAAGACCCCTCTCTCTCTTGCTTTGTTTATTTATTTTTTTGAGACAGGGTCTCACTTTGCAGTCCAGGCTGTCCTTGAACTGGTGTGTACCCCAGGCTGGCCTTGAACTCACAGTGATCCTTCTGCCTCAGGCTCCAAGTGCTAGGATTACAGGCCCATGCCACCCCACCCAGCTCTCTTTAAAATAACATCTTTGGGGCTGGGGATTTAGCTCAGTGGTTCTGCCACCTGCCTTGTAAGCACAAGGCCCCCGAGTTCGATCCCTGGTACCAAAAAAATAAAATAAAATAACATCTTTGTTGTGGGTGTGGCTCAGTGGTAGAGTTCGGGATTAGCATGTGAGAGGCCCTTGGGGGGAAACGTTTCTGAGGTACTTGATTAAATGGTTTTTGTCTTCTAGTTCATCTTCACAGCAAACCTGTGAGGTGAGGTAAATATCCGACTTCACAGAGAGGAAAACAGTGTCTTCGAAGTGACTTTTCTAAGGTCACACAGTGAGTAAAGGGATGCATCCCTGGCTCTAGAAGCAGTGGGTTTGAGGGCTCTGCAGGGCATCTCTGAATGGTTTCCAGGAGCTCCTGGCACCAAAAAACCTGAGCAGAATGCCTCTGGGTGCCCAGAGCAGTGGGGAATGTATGACCTCCTCAGCTTCCCAAGCACTTCATGTACACCAGCTCCTGTGTGGAGCCTCACAGTTGGTTACTTTTTATAACAATCCTGTGAAGAGGATCTGAACTGTCCTTCCACCAACAGGGAGCTGAGGTTCAGGTAACTTGGCTTCCGGGTCACACAGCACAAACTTGGGGTATGGGGGAGACTGTTACTGGCTCTACTTCCCCCACTGGACTCTGGTGCTCCCCAACTTCCCAATTCATCCCTCTGTCAATTATCCCCTTGTTCCTTCTGCTCCCAAGCTCACTGGTTCAGGCCCCTGCCCGGCCCCATCCTCCCAGCAGGGGTAACTGGAGGGCTAAGTCTGAGTGAGGAGGGGAAAGTTGGCCAAGAGGTCACGCTTCACTTACGTTGGGATCCTACACAACTTTTTTTTTCCTGTATTGGGGATTGAAACAAGGGCCTTCACACTGAGCAATATTCCCATCCATGACCCCCCTCCCATTTTAAATTTTGAGACAAAGTCTTGAGAAATCACTACATTGGCCAGGGTGGGCTTGAATTTGTGCTCCTTCTGCCTCCCAGAGTGCTGGGAATATAGGCATGTGCACCACATCTGCTCTCTTTTCTTAGGGCAGGGCATTTATTTAGCGTTTTTTTCAGTTTTTTTATTTTTTGGTACCGGGGATCGAACTCAGGTCCTTGCGTTCTCAGGGCAGGCGGTGGAACCACTGAGCTAAATCCCCAGCCCTCTCTTTTTTTTTTCTTCCCTTCCCCTCCTCTCTCCTTTCTTTTCCTCTTCCTCTTCTCCCTCCTCCTTCTCCCCCTCCTTCTCTTGTTTCTCATTCATGATGCTGGGGATCAAACTCAGGGCCTCACACATGCTAGGCAAGTGCTCTACTGATGAACTACATCTCTAGTCCTGTTTACAACTTACCTAATTTTGTGTTTTGATAGTGATTTGTTTGTTTGTTTGAGACATGGTCTTGCTATGTAGCCCAGGCTGACTCAAACTCATGGTGATCCTCCTGCCTCACCCTCTTGAGTTCTGGGATTACAGGTGTGTGCCACTGTGTCCAGCTGGTGGTGATTTAGAAACAGGGTCTCCCTAAACTCTCTGTCCTGGGTTCAGTTCTTACTGTAGGGGTTTCAGCAGGAAAGAGACACATCAATGTCTGCAAAAGAGGGCTCATGAAAGGACTGTTCAGAAGAGTGGCGGGCAGAGCACCCTGTTGCATGCAGCAGTGGGATGGGGTTACCTCCTTGGCCCTGTAGGGACAAGGGGAGGCAGCTTCGTTAGTGAACCAGGTAAGAGCTGCACCCAGTAGGAGTTGTGGGTTTCAGTCAAGGATGAGAGTAACTGCCAAAATCACAGAGGGAGGGAGGCATGATAAATATCCTGGTTGCACTGTCTCCCTCCCTCTGATCTCCTGCCACATCTCCTATTATACAAACTCCACCTGAAGCCAGAAGCCTGGGGGGGCCACAAACTGTCAGAAGAGTCAGCCCCAGGCCTCGGCAGGGCAGCAGAGAGCCACCAAGAATGGAGGCAAGGCAGAAAATAGCCAGCCTCTGGCTGTTGTCCCCCTTCCAGACTCTGTGGAGAGGCTGACAATGGCAGCATTTTGCCTTTCAGAGCATGATCTGAGACTGGCTCTGAAACCCCCTTTCTCATCCTTCCAGACCCAGCTTACTCTGTGCAGGAGGGAGGCAGCCACAGGCCTGGAGTTAATCTCTCCCATCCCTGGCCTCCCTGATTCTCCGGGCCTAGCAGCACATCACTCAGCCCAGTGGTTTGGCATATCCTCCTCAAAAGCTCGGCCCCCTGTGAGATGGTTCTAGCCTCCTCTGCGTGGAGAGCTGCTTGGAGGCCTGGGCCAAATAAGGCCATTTGCCCTAACAAGGGCTGGGCAGAGACCCAGAGCCAGGGTATGCCAAGTGAACCCAGTCCTGTGACCCCCTCACCTCACTCTGCCTGGTTGGAGACCATCTGTGCTCGAGTGTGTGTCTCCCGGAGTAGACTGGGACTCCAGGCTTGGCACACAGTAGGTGTCAGATGTTGCCCAAATTGGCCTAGATAGGACCATCCTTCATTCTCTCCTTCATCCAACAAAATTTCCTGCTACTGTATATGCCAGGCCCCATGCTGGTCCCTGGGGACACAGCAGTAAAGAAGACACATGATGTTCCTCCATGAGGCTTCCATTCTAGTGGGTAAAGCAGAGAAGGAAGGAATCAAAAACAAACCCTGTCATTGGATGATACTGTCATTTTGATAAGGGCTCACATAGAATAAAGAGTGACAGTCAACCAGGGGGCACCCCTGGGGGGAGTGTTTTGGCCTAAAGAACGGCTCAGGGAAGGGAGGAGTTAAGGGATTCAGTCTTCAGGACTGCCAGGGTCAGCTCCTGAGCAGGGTTTTGGAGGGGAAGGATGGCTCTTCTGGATGCTACCCTTGCCACCTGTTGCCTAGCACCCGCAGCAAACAGCACCTCTGGCAGGCCTTGCCCTTGCTCCCCTCTGACTGGCAGCAGCTGTCAAACAAAGCAGCTGCAGCGCTGCCAACCTCCTCCCCTGGAATATTTTAGGGGTAAGTCAGAAAATGACCAGCAGCCTCTAAAACCTGAGTTTTTCCTGTTCGTACCTTACAAGGGTATATTGGGCTGCCTGGGGTGTTAATTTTCCACCCCCCTTGCATTAGAGAGAGAGTTATAAATACACAGCCTCAGGCAGCACACTCAGTAGTGCATGAATGAACACACCCATAGCCGTAGTCACATGCTGAGGACACTCCACACATCTGCTCATGACCAGCCCTCCCCCCTCAGCCACTGCAATCACAGCAGCCCTTGGTCAATGACACAACCACAACCACGCCAGGACCACACACAAGCCCCAGGAACAGTCACTGCAGCCAACCCCCCACCCCAAAGGACACTCCGCAATGGGCAGGGTCACCACACGCATTCATCCGAGATCACATAGCCACACGCAGACATGGACCCCACATCATCAGTCGCACATGGACACTCAACCCTACAACCTCCCACTCCCCACACCACAGAAGCCCACACTCAACACAACCCCACAACCTCCCACCCCCATCCCACGCTCAAGGCCTCTGCTTCGCTCAACACAGGCCTGAGCCCCTTGGCTTGTGGTAGTGCACAGCCTTCTTCGATCGAGTCAAAGCCCTCCCCTGACAGAGGGACGAGTGGAAAAAAGAAATCAGAAAGAGAATGCTTGGGAGCCAGGTCTAGGAAGGGGGCCAGCAGCCTCTCATTTGGGGATAAAGACCAGTGCTGAGGTCTGACCCTGACACTCGCGGGCTGAGGACTTGGTAAGGGGTTGGTTATGCGTTAAAGTTGGCCGAAGCGGGGTGAGTGGGGGTGACAGGTGGAGCACATGGGTGCCGCAGGAAACTTCGCTGGGTAGACGACTCAACCTCGCAGCCTTAACCCCTCGGCAGACCTCCTCCTGTCGTTTTCTAACCCCAACCCCAGGGTCCCAGGCCCCCAGGCCCGGGGCTGTCCCCAGACACACAGGGTGTGGCCTTGTTACCTCCTCCAGCAGCCGCCCTGCCCCAACCCTCCAACAGCTGCGGGAAACCGGGTGGCACCCAGCCCCCGCTCGTGGGCACGGACACGCGCGAGGGAGGGCCCTGGGTGCCCCGGGCCCCTCTCCAAGCCTCGCTCTCCAAGCCAGAGTGGGGAAACAGCTCCCCGGGGGCCGCCGCGCCTCCCTCCCCCTCCCCCGCAGCCGGGACCTGGGAAGGCGAGCTGGAGCGAGGAAAGGTTCGGGAAGACTCGGGAAGACTCGGGACGCCCCTCCCCAGCCCGGCCCGGAGGGGCGGCCTCTCCCCGCCCCCAGCCAGTTCCCTCCGGAGTCTGGGCCAAGTGGGCGCGCCCGCCCGCCCCAGCCGGGAGGGATTCGGTGTCTGCTGCAGCTGGTAGTGCGCGGGCGCGGGCGCGGCGGTCGGCTGGGCCGGCTATTAATAACGCGCCCCCGGAGCCCGGGTCGCGCAGCCATGGCCAGCCCGGAGTCCCGGAGTGCCGGGGACGGCGTAGCCCAGGCCTCGAGGTAGGAGCGTCCAGAGCCCGCGTCGCCGCCCCTTTGGGGAGGGGGTGCCGGAAGGTTCTCTTCCCCCACCCGCGGCCCCGGTCGCCAGGCTGGGGTGGGACCCGGGGCGGAGCCGCTCAGGGAAGGGAGGTGGGGAGCCCTGGCCCGGGGTCAGGCACCTCAGTGGATCGGTGGGTGGCTTTTTATAATACCCTTTCCTCTCCTGTGGACTGAGTGTGAATTGACCCTTTCAGGTCATCAACTGTTCAAAATCCACTTGGCCCATCTGATCAAAGATTGTGCTCATTTTCCTTCATTCCTGTCGAAATGTCAACCAGGGATGGGGTGACCAGTTGTGAATTTGCTGTAAGGAAGGCACTTGGTGCAAGGTTGGACATGGGCCAGCTTGAAGTTAAAGAGTCTGCTCAGGCATCTTGTTCTCTTCTGTCTGGCCTAGGATGGGGGCAGGGAGGGTCTACTGCCTCCGACCTTTAAGGGCTGGGGAGAGCAGGCCCATCCCATTTACCTACTCTGTCAGTTTACCACTAGGTAGGGGGGAAGGGCCCCGGGGCAAGTGGGGAGTATTTCTGCCCCACATCAGGCCATGGTCCTGGACTTCCCACTGTACCAAGAGGCAGAGGTTCGAATGCACACCTCCTGACACCTCTCCACTGTCACATTAGGGGACTCAGTCTTACACATACACTTGCCTGCACTGCTGTAGACACGTACAGGGTATACAAGGAATCAGACACACAGACTCTCGCCTTGCGCTGTGTCACACACATTCCCAGCCACAGCCCTGGGACAGTGTTAGGGAGCTGCTGGAGTCCTCTGGGGTGGCAGAGTGGCAGAAGCAGGCTGCCCCCGGCCCAAGGAAGCCTGAGGTCCGGGGCCCTTGATGAGCTCCCTGCTGTCCCTCCCTTTTGGCCTAGTATCTACTTCTTTCCCAGCAGTAGAGAGGTGGCCCTGTGAGGGCAGCGACTGGCACCCTGGGAGGGGTGGCAGCATGACCTGGAATTCAGGAGGCCTGGGTTCTCCCTCCAGTTTTGCCTTTTGACCTTGGGCAAGTTTCCTCCTGGGAGCTCAGTTGGTTTCTGCCCGCCTTCCAAGAGGCCCACCCTTAGGATACAGAGCAGAATTGTATTTGTCCTTAGCATTCAGATGCGCACATGTCTGTAATGCAGACCCAGAAGCACAAAGATGAGTGGCATTCAGTGAGGACACAGGTGGGCCTTGTTTGGGAAATACTTCACAGAGGAGATGGAGTTTGAGCAGAGCTTGAAGGATGAATAAAAATTTGTTAAATAAAAAGGTTTTTTCACAAGCGGAAGGACCCGAGTTCGATCCCCAGTACCAAAAAAACAAAAACAAACCAAAAAAAAGGTTTCTGTATGTATGTATGTATGTATGTATTGCAGTGCTGGGGATCGAATCTAATGCCTTATACCTGCTAGGCAAGCACTCCTCCCTTGATCTAAATCCTGTCCTAAACTGTGTCATCCTAGTACTGGGGAGACTGAGGCAGGAGGATTTCTGTAAATTCCAGGCCAGGCAGGACTACATAGTGATGGCATGTCTCAAAAAACAAAACAAAAATAAATCAATCCCATGGTCTGGGGATTTAGCTCAGTGGTGCCGCCACCTGCCTTGCAAGTGCAAGGTCCTGAGTTTGATCCCTGGTACAAAAAAAATGAAACAACAAATTCCCCAGGCCTAGAAAGATGTTTTGATTATGATGTGCCAAGCTTCATTATTATGTGTACTTTTGGCCAAGAGTAGCCTTCTCCAGGCTCCATCTACCACCTGTATGAGTTTTGGAACCCAGTGAATTCTTTTTGTATTCCCACTTCATCTATACAACGGGCATTAATAGATGAGGATTGCATACATGAGTATTCATGTGATATGCTTAGAAGTTGGGTGTGGTGGGACATCCCGTTAATCCCAGCACTCTGGGGAGCCTGAGGCAGGAGGTTTGCCAGTTGGAGCCCAGTCTGGACAACTCAGCAAGATCCTATCTCAAAATAAGAAAATAAAAAAAGAGACTGGAGATGTAGCTCAGTAGAAGGCTCTGGATTGCAAACCTAGCACCAAAAAATAAAGGGCTTAGAATAGTACCCTGAACGTGGTTAAATTGTTCCCAGGTGGGGGGCTTGGGAAGAGTGTCAGGAGGGCCGTGGGCTGGGAGAGGGACTCTGCTGAGTAGCAAGGTGGGCCTGGTGGCTGAGCAGGTGTGGCTTCTGGGTAGTAGGAGGTCTAACTTCCCAGGTAGCACAAGGCTGTTCTCTAGGCAGATGGTGTTGGGGAAGCTGCATTGCTCAGCTGGATCTTTCAGACACTGTGGGCTCAAGTGTGGGAGGTGTGAAAAGTTGACATGTTCTGGGCTGTCAGGCATTGAGTGGGTTGCAGGAGTAATGTGAGCTGAGGCTAAAAAAAGGGCCACATCTTTAAGACTTTGATGATGTGAAGTAGAGCAACATTATGTTGTAGCCAGTTAACTGGTACTGTAGAGAACAGACTGGGTGAGAAGAAGGCTCATTAGAAGGATGGGATGAAGTACAGGAAGACTCTTGAATGAGGGTGAAGGGAGGATGGAGACTAGAGACTTTCCTGAGGTAGAAAGGCCAGTTCTCCATGATTTGGCCATACTGGGCAAAGAAAGTGCTGTTTGATTTCTGGCTAGTTAACCTGGAGTGTGGTGATTTGTTTTTCTGAGCTGGAGAGTACACATGCAGTAAGCCTCGGGAAAGTGGTAATTTGGGGCAACTGAGTCTGAGATACTCAGTGACATCAGGTGAAGATAACAAAAACCACTTCCTATCTGGCAAAGCAACGCAAATGGATTAGGTGATTATTGAGGACTTTAGGTTTAAAGTTTTGGAGCAAGTGCTGGATGGAATGAGGTCAGTGATATCAAAAGGGCTGAAAGCAGACTTTTGTGGTTTTCAGGCCACTCTTACATGCAGAAAAGGAAACCAGGGACTCATGACTTGTTAGGTGGGAGGATAGTGTACCCAATGATTTAGAATGATCTACTAGATCTAGGCATGGTGTCACATGCCTGTAATCCCAGCATTTGGGAGGCTGAGGCAGGATGATGGCTGGGAGTTTGAGGCCAGCTTGGACTACATTGAGAGACCTTGTCTTAAAATCACAAAACAAAATTGCCACTGCCTACCTCGAAAGTGCAAGGTCCTGAGTTCGATCCCCAGTACCAAAAAAAACACAAAAAACCCCATACAACCCCCCCCCCCCGTAAAGTATTAATTGGAGCCTGGTCAGAAAGGAGAGCCAAATGAAGATGGCACTGGAATGGAACTTTGTTATATATGGAATAACTGAAAGATAATTTAGCTACTTTTGTGTATGGTACTGAGGACTGAACCTAGGGCCTTGAGCTGCTAAGCATGCATTCTTACACTGAGTAACACAGCTTCTAAGTAGGTTATCTTTAATTGTTTAAAGAACTTAAATGGAAAATCAGTTCAAATTGTCTGCTTCTGGAAGGGAGTATCAAGTCCAGCAGGTAAGAACTGCAAGGAAGTTTCTACCTTAAACATTAGAATTTTACTAGTAGATGTTGTGGGGGTGTGGTCAGGGGAGCAAAAGAATGGCATGTAGGGCCGGGGATTTAGCTCAGTGGTTCTGCCGCCTGCCTCGAAAGCGTGAGATCCTGAGTTCCATCCCCGGTACCAAAAAAAAAAAAGGGATGTATGTGGGAGGATAGGGAGCAAACAAGCTACTCCTGAGATCTGAGAACCTTCTTCTTCTGTGTCCTTTTCTTCCCCTCTTCCTCTTTCTCCAGTCTTCTTTTTCCGATACTGGAAATTGAACCAATGGCCCCCCACATACTAGACAAGTCCTCTACCACAGAGTTACATCCCCAGCTCACTTTTTTTTTTCACTTTAAATCATTTTTTTCTTGCAGGGAAATAAGAGCAGAAGCCATTTCTCTTCAAGAGAATTCTGAACCCCTGAATGAGGCTGAGACCTTGAACCCAGAAGCTACTCTATCTTTGGAAGGGACTGTGAACCTGGAAGACATTCTCTACCTAGGGGACACAGGTGACTTCGAAGAGACACTTTACATGGAGGAGCCTGAGAGTCCAGAGGCGATACTGTATATTGAGGAGACTGGGCAGCCAGAGGCACTATTGGTGGAAGAGCCTGTGAGTGCAAGGGAGATGCAGTATGAGGAGACTGAGAAGCCAAATCTGGAACAGCCTGTGGATCTAGCAAAGAGCCTGAGCCCAGAGCAAATTGTCTGTGAGGGAGAGATGACTGAAAGGGAGGAAAAATCCAACCCTGAGGAGAACCTCAAACCTGAGCGGAGCCCCAGCCCAGAGGAGAACCTGAGCATTGAGGATCTGGAACTGCTAGAGGGCCGTTTCCAGCAGTGTGTGCAAGCAGTGGCCCAGCTGGAAGAGGAGCGGGATCAGCTCATCCATGAGCTGGTGCTGCTCCGAGAACCAGCCCTGCAGGAGGTACAGCAAGTCCATCAGGACATCCTGGCTGCCTATAAGCTGCACGCGCAGGCAGAACTGGAGAGAGATGGGCTAAGGGAAGAGATCAGGCTGGTCAAGCAGAAGCTATTCAAGGTGACCAAGGAATGTGTGGCCTACCAGTACCAGTTGGAGTGCCGTCAGCAGGACGTGGCTCAGTTCACTGATTTCCGGGAAGTGCTGACCACAAAGGCAGCCCAGCTGTCTGGAGAACTGGCCCAACTCCAGGATGCCTATCAGAAGCAGAAGGAGCAGTTGAGGCAACAACTAGAAGAGCCTCCAAGCCAGAGGGATGGGCACTTTCTCCAGGAGAGCCGGCAGCTGTCTGCCCAGTTTGAACATCTTATGGCAGAGAGCCGCCAGGGCCTGGAGGAGGAATATGAGCCTCAGCTACTGCGGCTCCTGGAGAGGAAAGAATCGGGGACCAAAGCTCTGCAGAAAACCCAGGCTGAGATCCAGGAGATGAAGGAGGCTCTGAGACCCCTGCAAGCAGAGGCCCGGCAGCTCCACCTGCAAAAGAGGAACCTGGAGGACCAGATCATGCTTGTGAGGCAAAAACGAGATGAAGAAGTACAGCAGTACAGGGTAGGCCATGGCTATGAAAAGTGGTCTTTTAACACAGGGAAGGAAAATGCAGCGAGAATTTAACATCTGGGGCCAGAAGATATTATTCTGAGCAGAATAGTAATTCCTTCTTTGGGGCCATTCACTCACTCCTTTCCTTCATTCTTCATTCAGTCAGGCTTATGTTAAAAGCTAAATTTCTTATAGCTTACACAGCGTTTTTACTGCACTGTTTTTTGAGACAGGGTCTTGCTAAGTCATTAAGTTGCTCAGGGTGGGTTCATATTTTCAATCCTCCTGCCTCAGTCTCCAGGAGGCTCCCAGATCTGGGATTACAAGCATGTGCCACTATGCCCAGCCATTTTATAGGTGAAGAAACTGAGGTTCAGTTGAGTAATCTGAACTGTAGTTTACCCAACCCCAAGTATTTCAGTGCTCCTTTCATAGCACCATTTTCTAATTCTTTTTTTTGCTTTGGTACTGGGGATTGAACTCAGGCCTTTCACTTTTGAAGCAGGCGTGGTGCCACTAAGCTAAATCCCCAGATTTTTTGAGGCAGGGTCTTACTATGTAGTTCAGCCTGGCCTTAAAGTCATAACATTTTGCCTGCTTCAGCCTCTGAAATGCTAGGATCACAAATGTACACTACCACAGTTGGCATTTTCTAATTCTAAATGAATAGTGAATCATACTTGGGTATGTGAAAAGCAGTAGAGTAAGGGGCCAGGTGAGCTTGGTGTGGTGCTGCCTGCCCGTAATCCCTTAGGAAGCTGAGGCAGGAGGATCAGTTCAAGGCTAGCTTGGGCTACACAAGATTCATCTCAAAAAACAAAATAGAAAAAGAGCCTAGGTGGAATGAATGCATTCCTTTTCCTCCACCTCATATTCACCCTTAAGTCTCACCCATTCAGTCTCCACCTTAAAGCTATCATCTTTAGGCTGAGATGAAATCTATAAATCTCTATTCCTTGTTTTCCTTTTTTGTGCACGTCATCATCTCCCTTATATTCCAGTTATTCTGATTAAACGTGAGCCAGTTCTTATCCTTTTTTAAAACCACAGTGAGCTATAAATATTAAGTGAATAAACACATCTGCTTGTCAGACTGGGCTTTCAGAAGGTAGGAGCTGTGTTTTACTTATCTCTGTATTATTCTCTGCTACTCATAGTTCCTAGTGTAGAGTTCAGTGTTGCTGGGCGCTGGGAGGGAATGTTTGTGTGGGGTCATTTTTTTTGGGGGGGGGTACCGGGGATCGAACTCGGGTCCTTGCGCTTGTGCTGCAAGCAGTGAAACCACTGAGGTAAATCCCCGGCCCTCATTTTGTTTCTTGAAACACACATTTCTTTTGGATAAACTTAAAAATCTTATGCTCTTCCCCCACAACTGGCTGGGTCACCATTTTTTTTCCCCTAGTACCAGGAATTGAATTCAGGACCTTGCACTTGCCAGGCAGGTGCAGTGCCACTGAGCTAAATTCCCGGCCGTTGATCACCATTTTTTAAAGCAGTGTCACTTTTTCATCTTTAGTTTCCTAACCTGTCCTATAAATACCAGTCTCCCTAAACATGATAATGAATGTAAAAAGAAGTGCTTTATAAACTGTTACAGTGTCAGGGTTTAAAAAAATTGTTTGGCTCATCAGAATGTTCTTGGCCATCTCATTTAGGAACAGGAGGAGGAAATGGAGGAACGGAAGAGGAAGTTAAGAAGTGGGGTGCAACTCCAACAACAGAAGAACAAAGACATGGAGCAGCTGAGGATCAGTCTCGCACAAGAGCTCTCAAAATATAAGTCAGTTTTTGCTGCCACCCAAGTCCCACCTAACACTGGCTGAGGAGGTGGTGGGGAGGGGTCAGGGGAAATTTCATTTAATAGTGGTTAAAAAAAAAAGATTTTCAAATTGTGCTCATCCAGGAACAGATGGAAAATGGCTCTCTCTTTTTAAAGGGCTATGCTTCCCAAAAGCCTGGAACAGGCTGACGCTCCCACTTCTCAGGCAGGTGGAATGGAGAAACAGTCTCAAGGTGACCACTGTGGGTAGAGGAGTGGTGTTTGCATCATTACTGCTTTTTTTTTTTTGTACTGGGGATCGAACTCAGGACCTTGTCACTGAGCTAAATCCCCGGCCCCATTACTGCTCTCTTAACAATACTAATCAATGCCTTTTTGGTATGGCAGTACTTGTGATTGAACCCAGGGCCTCATGCATGCTAGGCAAACACTACCATTGAGCTACATCACCAGCTTAATGACTTAAAAAAATTTAAGTGTCTAATGATAACCTATTTAGTGATAACCTGTGCCTCCGAAATGGTTAGGATATTTGACTTCACTTGGAAGAAGTCAAAATATGACCTAATCATCACCAGGAATTCTGTATTAGATAAGGCATCTGAGCTTTGGGGATTCTCAGATCCTCACCCTACTCATCCCTACCTGCTGTTTCCTTAGTGTTATCAGAGAAGGCAGTTGTGTACCTAATTCAGACCATGACAGAGGCAGCCAACAAAAAGGCTAAATTAAGCCAAGTATGGTGGCACACACCTTTAATCCTAGCACTTAGGGAGGCTAAGGCAGGACTGAGTTCAAGGCCAGCCTGAACTACATAGCCAAAAAAACAAATAATTACTAGTAGTCATGAAAAAAAAGCTGAGGATGGTTTAGAGGCTGAGAGATATGCTCAATATGTGAAATAACCAACATACTCATTAATTTACTTATGAATTATTCAAGATCCTTCCTGTCTTACCAATACATTCTCATATTCTTTTTTGAGATAAGGTCTTGCTATGTAGGTCAGGCTGGCCTTGAACTTGCAGTGACCCTGTTGTCTTTAGCCTCTGGAGTGTTGGGATTACAGGTGTGTGCCACCATGCCCAGCTTTTTATATTCTTTATAAAAAGTAACCGATTCCCTTGGATAAACTGAGAAGTCTGGGTTGGAGCTTAATGGTAGAGTACTTGCTTAGAACACATTAGGTTTGATCTCTACCACTGCAAAGAACCCCACAAAAAAACAAAAACTAAGGATAAATCAGTGTCAAGTTGTATGATACTATAGATACCCATACAGTTCCTTCATTTGGTATTTAGATACATTCATTTTTTTTCCGTTACCAGGGATTGAACTCAGGACCTTGCAATTGTGAGGCAGGCACGGTGCCATTGAGCTAAGTCCTCTGCCGTTCATAACTATTTTAACTTATTTTTTTGTAACTTTCTAGAATTTTCACTTACTGTCTTATCTCAATATAATTAATTATACTTACCATTTGGGAGACTATTTTAACTTTATAACTGGGGGCAAGGATCTGCTAAACACGGTATGTAGACAGTAAAAAGAATGACTAAAGAAACGAAACTAAACAATCTCAAGCATTTTTTTGCTTTTGACAGGGTCTGGCTATGTAGTTCAGGCTAGCCTCAAATTTACTGTGTATCTCGGGCTGGCTTTGAACTCACAGCGATCCTCCTGCCTCAGCCTTCCAAGTGTTGGGATCACAGGTGTGTGCCACCATGCCTGGCACTCTCAAGCATTTTAGTAACTGTGTGAAGTTAACCTGAGCACAGAAAATTTTTAACTACCTCCTCTCATCACCATCACATAGGCAATGACTTGTTATGTTCTGCATAGGAAGCACTCAGTGTTGGGGAAAGTCATCCCTGATCATATGTAACTTACAGTGCAGCATCTATCTCAACATAGCCTGCAGTATTTAGAAACTGGAGGTTCCTTATTACATAAAATTTTCTTCTGTATTATTTCAAGTTAGAGAAAGCATAAACTTACTTTTTTTTTTTCCTAAATCTTACAGGGGCTGTTTAGAACTGTATGGGAGAATCTGCAACACAGAAACAACCAAAAATACTTCCTAGCAAAGATTTAATTACCAAGTACCCTTTTGGACATGCCTTTTCCCAAACAGACAAGGAGTGCCAGAAACTGGGAAGCAATTCACCCTGTGAAAATTGCAAATACTGGCTCAAGTGATTCTATCGTTGGCTGGAAAAACAAAAGCCAGCTCTTTGCTGGATTCAACTTCATAGGCCACTGGTACTGACCTGAATGAGCTGAGGAATGGAAAAATGCCTTATCTTCCAGCAAATGCCTCATCTTCCAGCAGCAACCCTCACATGCACGCTGAGTAAAGGATAAATGTATAGATATATCTTGCAGTATTATGAAGAATGTATCTTGCCTTGTGTTGACCCAAACAAAAAACATTTTGGGGGACAAAAAGCCAATTTTCCTTATATGGGTTTACAATTTGAATTCTTTTGTGCCATGAGTGTTAAGATTTTAAATGAATCCACTTACAAAATTTACTTTTTCTTAAGGGCTATGCAGACTCAATTTACTCTTAAAATTTTTGTCAAGATAATTTTCACAGTACTCTACGACAAACCAGACTTTGAGAAAAGAAAGCAATTCAGATCTGAATGTAATGCTTTAAAAACCACTGTATTCAGATTTTCCCCAAATGATCTGAAGTGAATTTTGGGTCAGAATGATCTACTCAATCAAAAACAAAAACTGAGCGACTGGAAAGAAGCAATCACTTTATCTGGTTATGGCACGCACGCAGGCTTTCAGAGCCTATTGTTTTGATCCTCTAAGTACAGGCCCCAGTGAAAAACACTGGGGAGAGTTGACCTCTCTGTGAGAAAAGGTTCAAGAACTTTTTCCACATTTAAATTTTGCCTTAAATTCTACCATACTGCCTCTGACATTTGAAAGCCTGTATAGTTCTCTAGGAACTGATTTTTTAAAAACGCCATTTTATCACAGACCAGTTTGTGCACCCCTGGCTATTTTATGTCTTGAAGTTTCCCTGAAAGGGAGTAAAGCTCTTTTCTATAGGTCTGGGTCTGTTTAACTGTATTTTTTTTTTGTTGGTACCGAGGATCAAACTCAGGACCTTGCGGTTGCAAGGCAGACACAGTACCACTGAGCTAAATCTCCAGCCCTGTTTAACTCTATTCTTGATAGCCATAGGTCAGAGAAAATAACTCATCTGAACAACTGTTCTAAAAGCAATAGATGTGTATTTGATGGTGTTATATTCTAAATAAAACTCATCAGCATGGGGTTATGTAGAAAAGCAATTTATTCCATTATAAGCACTTACATAGTTAAGTCATGGAGAGTAACAGGCCTGCTGGTGAAACAGGTCACCTAAAATGGAGATGGTATTAAACTAGTGGTCAAGGACTAACTTCTTAAAAAAAAAAAAGCAAAAAGCAACTCTTATCAGGGATTAATTTAATTTTAAAAACAAATATAAGCTATCAAATCACCCTTCTCAACTTGACAGTCTACCTGAGGGACAACTGTCAGGTAAAAACATACATCTTTACAACTTGGTGGTCCCAAGTTAAAATAACAAAAAACAACAGAAACCATTTCACAGAAAAGGAAGGAATAATATGAAAACAGCTCAAGAAATACACTAACAAGCAAAAATATATAGGCAAGGAGGAACATGTAGCTTGGACTGAACTGAATAAACCAAGAGGAGACTGGTCTACATAGGAAAAATGTGCATCCTGGAAAGTCAGGTATGAAGATTTAGAGTAGGAATCTATGACTTGATTCTCCCCTAATTCCTGAATAAAAATGACATCTTGCAGTACTTACACTTCATGGCTCAGACACCTAACCTCACTTGGCTCTATTCCTTACTCACGTTAGCCTTTACTGAAACAAGTCTGAAAAACTTGGGGATTTATCTTAAGAAGAAAAATAATCACACATTATATTCCCCTTTCTGTAGCTACTTTAGACCTGGGTTTGTTAATAGAAAATTCCTGAAGAAAATTTAAATATAAGTCTGTGGCTTTGCTGAATCAAGTACCCCAGTTAATATTTAGAAAACACCCACTTTTTCAGCCACTAGTATTATTGGTGGTACCTATTGTGGAGGGATAGCTGAACAAAGTCTGTATGTCTCAAAACCAGTGTTAAATCAATCTCAGGGTTGAGAGGAAAAAAGGGGAGTCTAAAATCACGAGTGCAGATATATCTAGGATCCTTGTCCTTCTGGATCCACACTTCCTTCAGGGTCTTCATCATTATAAATGTTCTCTGCCTGCCCAAAAACAAGAAAAAAGAATATTTATTTAGCAATCACGAAGGCCACTTCTTGAACTCAAGGTTCCATTAACAGATTAGGCAGGGAATCAGACAGTATTTTAGGCTTGTGGGTCATATAGGTGCTGTAACTTTTCTGTCACTGTCACAGAAAATCTCTAATAGGCATGACACATGAGTTGGTACAGCTACATTCCACTAAAACCACACAACTGGCCACAGGCCCTTACATTAAGACATTCCCACAAAAGTCTGGTTACTATTTACCTTCACAGCTAGCTAGCATTTTTAAATTCTTTAATGGGATATTATTAACTATATGATTACTACACAATGCCTGATAAAAGCTAAATTATAAGCTTGAACTGAAAACTTGGCCAAGTGTAGTGACGGACATCCATAACCCCTAGAACTCTGGGAGGATCCCAAGACAGGAGGATCCCAAGTTAAAGCTCAGCCTGGGCAATTTATCAACTTAGCAAGACCCTGTCTCAAAATGAGTAAGGGGCGAGAATGTAGTTTAGCATGAAGGCTCTGGTTCATGAATTCCCTGACTGCAAAAACAAACAACCAACCAACCAACCAACCAACCAACCAACCAACATACCCCAGACTACATATTCAAAATCTCAAAAGATTGATTCTAGAGCCTCACATATGCCAAGCAGGGACTCTTCCACTGAACTACAGCTGCAGCTCTGTATTTTACTTACTATGCCTATGAGTTTTAGCTTCCTTTTTTTTTTTTTTTTTTTTTAAAGGAACCAAATGGAAGACATGAATAGGCAAGGTGGGTAGGGGGCTCGGGGCTTCCATGAAACCTCTGGGCATGCCACCCTTCTGGCATTTTAGTGTATTTTCCAAGGCTGAAGTTCATCAAATTAGGAGGTTTTTTTCTTTCCTCTGGGACAAGGTCTTACTATATTGCACCAGGCTGGTCTCTAAAGAGTCTTCCACATTAGCTTCCAGGTATGACCCACTGGATCCAGAAAATTATGATTTGGAGGGGGGTGAATCCAGGGACCTCACACTGAGCCACACCCTAGCCCTGTAAAAAAAAAATTTCTTTTGGTACCAGGGATCAAACTCGGGACATTGCACTTGCGAGGCAGGCGCCTGAACCACTAAGCTAAATCCCCGGCCCTTAAAATTTAAAAATAAAAAAACTTTTTGTTGAGACACGGTCTTTTTTTTGCAGTTCAGGCTGGCCTGGAACTCTTGGTGATCCTCCTGCCTCAGCCTCCCAAGTGCTGGGATTACAGGTGTGTACCATCACACTCTAGCTTAAATTTTGTTTTTTGTACCGGGGATCGGAACTCAGGACCTTGCGCTTTCGAGGCATGTGCCAGAACCACTGAACTAAATCCCCAGCCCTTGAATTCTTTTTATCACACTACCCTCATTAAAAAAAAAAAAAAAAGTGGCTGGCTGGGTGTGGTAATGCAGGCCTGTAATACCAGCAATCTGGGAGGCTGAGGCAGGATTATCTTGAGTTCCAGGTCATCAGAGCCTGTCTCAAAAAAAAAAAAACGGGGGCTGGGGATTTAGCTCAGTGGTGCCACCGCCTGCCTCACAAGCTCAAGGTCCTGAGTTTGATCCCCAATACAAAAACAAAAAACAAAACTGGTAGCCCGGAATGGTGGCTAAACCAACAACAAAAAGTGGTGCAACACACGTAACAAAATTATTCACCATTTAAAACTCCCTTGTTTTTTGACTTTTTGTGTTGGGATTACAGGCATGTGACACCACACCCAGCTGTACTATTTCTTTTTTTTTTAATTGATTTTATTGGTACATTTTAGGTATATAATATAATGACATTCATCATTGGAAATTTGCACCTTTACATAATCTTTCTTGGTCGTACTATTTCTTACACTAACCATTTCACAGTGTTTTTGTTTGAGACAGGGTCTCACTTATGTAATTCAGGCTGTCCTCAAAACTTAATGGCAATCCTCCTGCCTCAGCCTCCCAAATTCTGGGACTATAGGCACACACCATCATGCCCAGCTTAGGGATTATAGTGTTTTATTTTTGTGTGGGTGATTGAACCCAGAGCCTCATGCACATAAACTGTGCCCTCTACTATTGTTCCATACCTTCAATCCAACTTAAGTTTTCTTGGTACTAGGAAATGAACCCAGAGCCTTGTATATATTAGTTCTTCTTTCAGTACTACAGATCAAACCAGAGGTACTCTACCACTGAGCTACTTGGAATTGAACTCAGGGAGCAATAAGCCATTTTCCCAGCCCTTTTTTTTTGATACTGGGGATTGAACTCAGGACCTTGCACTTTTGAGGCAAGCAACCACACCACTGAGCCAAATTCCGGGCCCTCCCAGCCCTTTTTATTTTTTAAAAAGGCTTCGATAAACTGCCCAGGCTGGCCTCAAACTTATAATTCTATCTTAGCCTCTCAAGTAGCCGGGATTTCAGTGTCACCTAGCCTGGATGCATATTATTTTTATTAAATTCTAAGTGTTGTGAAAATTCAAAAAAGGGTAATTACCTAAAATTTAATTTTAGAGTTAGGAAATATATTTGAAATCTGAAGAGGGTTCACAGAGAAATGGCTATATCATGCTGTGACATATTATCTCCTTTGGATATATATTTTTGCATCTGTAAGGTAAATACATATGGGAGAAATACTGCTCATAGATAATATGAAATCTGTAAGTACACTAGACCTAGACCCATGGAGAACTATGGTTTTCAAGTCTGGTTAGCTGGGGAGACATTACTGCTTAGAAAACAGGGAAATAAGTAGTAGAAAAGGGAAATGAGGAGGAACAAATTAGTTTTGTTTAGCTGGGTTTAAAATAATCAGTGGGACAGTCAAATAAATGTAAAGGATGGCTGAAAATAGCACTGTGCATATAAGCACACAAGTTATGTCTGAGAGTAAACTAAGATCCACTGCATTCATGAAGTATATAAATATGTGGCACACCTCTGTACTTCCAGCACTTGGGAGGCTGAGGCAGGAGGATTGTTAAGAGTTCAAGGCCAGCCTGGAATACATAGTGAGTTCAAGGCCAGCCTGAACCAAACAGTGAGACCCTGTCTCAAAAAACAAAACAAAAATAAAGAAAGGATGCTATGTCTCATTTATCTAACTTCTCCAAATAAATGACAAAACACTTACCATCTGCCACACTTGCATGATATTGTCTTCTGATACAGAACAAATCACCCAAGGTTCATTGGGATTCCAGGAAAAATCAGATATCTTGGCAGTGTGACCACCATGAATAAACTGAAAGAGGTAAGAAAACAGATATAAAATACAGACAAAGGATGTTAAAGTACAGACTACTTCAATATGGTTCAATGCTTGTAACATACCAACAACTCAGGTGGGCCATCTTCTGCATCTTCTGGAGATTGCTCTTCTCCAATTTTACTAGCACAAAAAGATAAGTCAAGACAGATTTACCCTGAGTAATTAACTTTGAAAAGTGTAAAGAAAATAACTTCATAAGGAGAGTAGATGATATAAGACTTACCTTAAATCCCAGACATTCAGTCTGCGATCAGTACCACTGGAAGCCAGAATAGTCTCATTGTGAGGTGACCACTGAACCTATACATATGCAAGAAAACAAAATCCATGAACCAGAAAATTGAACAAAAAATATCTAAAATTATACTCAATTAAAAAATTTTAGAAGCTGGATGTGGTGGTGTATGCTTCCACCTGGGAGGCTGGGGTAGGACTTTGAGGCCAGCCTATTACATAGGGAGATCCTGCCTCTGAAAACCAAAAGTAGGGCTGGGGAGTGAGCTCAGTGGTGCTGTGCCTGCCTCACAAGCTCAAGGTCCTGAGTTTGATCCCCAGTACCAAACAAACAAATCCAAAAGTAAATAAAAGGGAACAAACCAAACCAGGTGGGGTGTGGGACATGTTATAAAGTAGCATTCTGGGAAGCTGAGGTAGGAGCACTAATTGCAAGTTTGAGCCTAGCCTGCACAACTAGGTGAGCCTCTGTTTCAAAATAAAGAATAAAAAAAGGGGTTGGAGATGCCGCTCAGTGAGAAGACCCTGGGTTCAGTCTTGTATGGGAGAGGGAGGGGAGTGGTTAAAGTACCATACACAATTAAAACTGACAGCAAGGATATTCATTTTATGAAATAATCCATCACTAAAGTCAAAATAGATGGAAGAAACAAGAGA